GTCTTGGCCAAGAGTGGGGGACCCAGGAAGAGGGTGTGCTGGGAGTGGGGCAGTGGGCAGAGGGGCCTGATGAGCTTGGATTTGGGTGCTAGGGGCCCATGAGACACCCTTCTTGAGGAGGGAGACACAAATAATGATTGCTAATGCCAATAAAGGAACATGTTCTGCATGTTTATCATATGTATGAAATAGACCCCGGACTTTATTTAGAAAAAGTTGTGTACTTATTCTTACATGTGTAATCTCCAGTCACCTTCAAAGCACTCTCCGGTTGATGCAATACACCTAGTGAGATGCTTTTCCCACTGCTCGAAACAGTTTTTGAACTCGTCAGTGTTGATGCCTTTGAGTGCTTCTGTCCTTTTTGTTTCACGCCTTCCACATCGGCAAAATGTTTTTCTCTGACAAATTTTTTCATCTGGGGAAACAAACAAACAAAATCACTTGGGGTGAGAGCAGGTGAATAAGGAGGATGGGGCATGGGGTCATGCTGTTTTTGGACAAGAACTGCTAAACACTCAGCGAGGTGTGGGCAGGTGCATTATCATGGTGGAAGAACCAGTCACCTGTTTGCCACAACTTGGGACGTTTCTTCCACAAATACAGAAGGTCTCTCCCAATAACTCTGGCTGGTCCACTGATGCCGACGGGTTCCTAGAGCACCTTCCTAGCAGGGGAAGCCTGTACGACAAGGGGCCTCCCAAAAGATAATTCCGGTTTTCTGGGTTCCCGCCCATACATAATTCATCATATTATAATGTATATAATATATGTAGTTTTTATTATGAAAGCATTTCAAGCATATTCCTAAGCATGGGGGTAATACTATGAACCCTCATCTACCCAGTTCCCCGATTGATTCGTTATCATTTTCTCATTTGTTCTAACACCCTTTTGTCTACTTCTTTTTCTTTCTCTGCAGAAGTATTTTAAAGCCAATGTCAGTCACCAGGCAGATTCACCCCTACATTCTACAAAAGCACCTCTGAAAAATAAAATGAACACTTTTCTACCTATTCATAAGGCCATTCCCATACCCCCCCAAAATCTGTGGCCATTCCTTGGTATCATCAAATACCCAGTCCGCAGTCAAGGTTCCTTGGTTTTTCTTTGAAATTTCTTATTTTCACAGCAGTTTTCTTTGAATTTGAGATCATACATCATCATCTCCACATGGTTTTGGGTGTTAAATTGAAAACTTCCCCTTGAATTTAGAGTGTCTGCCTGTGGTTTTAAAATAGGATGGAACTGGCCAGGCTCGGTGACTCAGCCTGTAATCCTAGCGCTTTGGGAGGCCGAGGTTAGTGGATTGCCTGAGCCTGCAGGTTCGAGACCCGCCTGGGCAACTTGGTGAGACCTCATCTCTACAATAAATAAAAAAAAAATTAACCCGGCGTGGTAGCACGCACCTGTAGTTCCAGCTACTTGGAAGGCTGAGGCAGAAGAATCGCTGGAGCCCAGCAGGTCAAGGCTGCGGTGGCCAGGAGCGGCCACTGCACTCCAGACTGGGCGACAGAGTGAGACTCTAACTAAAAAAAAAAATTAGGATGGAACCATTTCTTCTTGCACAAACCTAAGCAAAGAAGAAAGAGAATACAAGAGCTTTTTATTCAGGCCAAGAAAATTTACTCCTTTTTTAAAAAAAAATCTAGAGTTACTATTCACAAGAACAGCCACTGGGGTACACATGCAGAATTGATGCTACTATCTTCTAAATCAAGAACAGAAACCAGCTTTAGAGTCTCAAGGCAAAGAGTTACATAATCATAAGTCATTATAAATTCTTCAGATAGCTTCTTGCAAACAGCTCCCTGGATTTCAGGTTGAATGGATTTGGAATAAAAATACTAAAGAATATTTTGGCTGGGTGCAGTGGCTCACATCTGTCATCCCATCACTTTGGGAGGCCAAGGAGGCAGGGTCGTTTGAGCCCAGGAGTTTGAGACCATCCTGGACAACATAGTAAGATACCTTCTCTACAAAAAAATTAGCCAGACGTGGTGGTGCATGTCTGTAGTCCCAGTCACTCAGGAGGCTGAGGGGGAGGGTGGTACCCTTCAGTCCAGGGGGTTGAGGCTATGGTGAGCCATGATTGTTCCCCTGCACTCCAGCCTGGACAACAGAGAAAGACCCCAACTTGAAAAAATATATATTTTATTTAAAATTAGACTCTTAGCTCCCATGTGGCAGATGCAGCTTTTTGAATGACAACCAAGTAGAAAATTGGAGCTATCAAGGGTTGGTGGGAAGACTAGAGTCTGTCTCTCTGTAGTCTATTCCAGGGTGACTCTAGAAACCCCTGGCTAATGCCCTGCAATGTGGCCTGAGTCTGTGTCTTTGTGCACCTGCCCTGGGACATGGACTGAGTGTGAGTGTGTGTGCATGTGCCTGCATGACACTCTTATTCCTCTCCCTGATGAGTTCCTCTCCAGAACACTCACGCCTTGGCCGTGCTGTACACGTCATCTGCTCCCTGTCTGTCTCTCTGTCCTCACCAGAATGTCAATCTCATGAGGGCAAGGCCTTCCTTTTGGCCCCTGCTGCATTTCAGGAGCTTAGGGCCCCGCCCTCTGTAACATCCCCTGAATGACAAAACGTTCGTCAGTCCTCAGGTTCTGAATCCTGTACCTGGGGAACTGGGGAGGACCCTGGAACTGGAGGAAAAGGAGACGCCCCACATCCTCCTGGGGAGATGCAAAGTCCCAGACCAGAGCAGATGAGGGGACTTCTGGAGCCTGAGAGGACCAAGACACTGCTGCCTCGGGAGAGTAGGACCTGGGAGAAGCCTTCCCATCCTGCCTCCCCCAAGGACTGGGAAGCAGTGGAGGTCGGGGCCTCCAACTGTGACAGTGATGAGAAAGGTGAGGGGGCAGGGGTCCCTTGGGAGGTGGGTGGATGGAAAAAGTTCAAGGCAGAGCCTAGGGAAAAATGGGACACTCATTTCTTCACTCATTCACTCAGCAGATGTTTGTGGAGCACTGTCAGCCAGCTTCTGCTGTGTAACAAGTCATCCCAAGCTTAGTGGCTGAAAGCCACATTTGTTTATCGGCAGGTGACCCTGTGGGCCAGTAATTTGGTCTGGCTTCAGGGGACACTTCTGGGCCTTCTATCCTTTGCCTGCACAGCCTTTGAGAGCTGGCGGGCACCTGGTGGATCTCAGATGGCCTCACTCATGGGTCTGGCTCAAAGGGCTAAAGACAGGCCATGAGTTTCCACAGATGACCCCAGTTTATCTTCACTGGTGGCCGCAGGGTTCTCAGGAGGAGCAAGAGAGAATGCCTCGATTCACAAGTACTTGCCATCCAGTTGCTCAACCACCATTGGTCAAAATAAGCTGTGTGGTCAGGTTCAGAATCAGGGAGGTGGGCTGGCTGCCCAGGGGTGTGGGCACAGGGAGAGATGGACACATTGGGGGCCATTTGGTGCAAAAGTTGACCACAAGCACCTACTGTGTGCCAGGCACCAGGCTAGGGGTTAGGGGCTTAGCAGCGAACATGATGGCCCTGGGAAAGCTCAGATTTCAGTGGAGACAGCAGACAATCACCAGTTAGGAAATGAAAAGAGAGGCCACGTCTGGTGGTGATGAAAGCTATTGACACAACAGAACAGGGTGGTGGACGGAGAGCTTTGTATGTGCAGGTGGTCAGGGAAGGTGAGAGGAGTCAGTTGTCCCAGGATTTGGGGACAGCATCCTGGCAGCTGAAGCTATGTGTGTAGTGGCCTGCAGTCGTGTCAGGGACACCTCAGTGGATAAAGCAGAGAGGAGAGAGAGAGAAGGAGAGAGAGAGAGAGAAGAAAAGAAAAGAGGTCAGCCAGCTGAGACGGGACATCTGGTTGACCGTGCCAAGGAGTTTGCTTGTTATTTGAGTACAGGAAACCACTGGCAGGGGAGAAACGCATGATTTCATCTGTATTTCAGAAAGATTCCTCTAACTCAGTGGTTTTCAACTCGGAGAGATCTTATACCTCACCTCTCCCCCACAGGGGATTTTTTTCTTCTTTTGAGTGGGATCTTGTTCTGTTGCCCAGGTTGGAGTGCAGTGGCATGATCATAGATCACTGCAGCCTCTAATTCCTGGGTGCAAGCGATCCTCCCACCTCAGTCTCCTGAGTAACTGGGACTACAAGAGAGCACCACCCTACCCAGCTCCCAGGAGACTTTTGGCAACGTCTAGAGATAGTTGGGTTGTGCTAACCAAGAGGTACTTCTGCCATCTAATGGAGAGAAGTCAACCATGCTGCTAAATAAACACCTTAAAATGCACGGGATAAACCCCTCCCAACCACATCCTGACTTGCACATCATGAAATGCCAAGAATGCCGAGGCTGAGAAGCCCTGTGTCTACTGTGTGTAAGAATGAATTGTAGAGCTAGGAAGTCAAGAGTGGAGGCTGGGAGGCCGGTTAGCAGACTCCTGCAGCTGCCCAAGAGGGGGGTGAGGTCAGTGGACAGATTCGGGACACCTTCAGGAGGAGAATCAGTTCTTGCTGATGGATTTGGAAAAGGGGAGGAAAAGAGATGTGAAGGATGACTCTTGGGATGTTAGTCCAGACAGCTGGACAACGGACATTTGCTGAGATGGGGACACCCCATAGCAGAAGGGGGCTGAACCATCTCCTAAGACATTTTTGCCCTCTGGGGTCAAGCAGGCCTTAGACAGGAGGTATAGGTAACAGCAATCAGTTCTGCTGTGAGGTTCAGCGCTCCCGGCCAGGGCCAGGGTGCAGGAGGAGCAAAATGCCCATCTTTGCCTGTTCTGTCCAGCGTAGGGACGAGAAGGATGCCACAGTTCTGACTTGGGAATGTTTCTCTACCCGTTCTTATGGAGGCTGGGGAAGTTCTGTGACTTTTCTTCTGTTCCCTCACTCAGCTTTTGTTGGAGGCCCGGAGAGAAGGAATTCTTTTGCCCATTGGACAGGTAAAGGAACAAAGGCTTAGGCAGAGCACATCAGGTGAGCCAGCTGAAGTCTTCCAGCTGGTTGTAAGATCAGAATTTAGGTCTCTCATCCTCTCAGTCCCACCTGAGCCACGTGGCCCAGAGTGTGTGTGTGTGTGTGTGTGTGTGTGTGTGTGTGTGTGTGTGTGTGTGTGTGTGGTGTTAGAATATTAGCAAGGAAAGGGTTAGGATGCCAAAGGGAAGAGCAAGAGAAGCCCACCCCAGCTGCCTGGTCACTCACTCGTGGCTCCATTCTCTCCCACGCCCACCCCTGCCAGACCTGTCTTCTCAAGAAGCTGGGTTTTCCCAGGAGTGGAGTTCGGTTGAGGAAGACGAAGAATCAGAGGACTCCCAGGTACATTCAGGATTCTCTCTTTTTCCACAAACATCCCACCTTGCAGATTTCAGTGGGTTGTCACGTTTCCTTTCTCAGCTTGAAATTTCCCTGCCCCACAAAAAGTCCCAACAGATCTCCTGTGGGAAACAGGATGTAATCCCGTGGTGATCAGACACAGAGTAGAGGGTCTTCATGTGGTGTGTGTGTCTACATTCACACATACCCTCCAATCCTTCATTCATAAATCCATTCATCTGTTCTTCTTTCCATCCATCCATACTTTTTTTTTTAAGACATGGAGAACAATTCAGGGTTGGGTACATATGTTCTTTTTATCATCCATGCATCCATTCATCTATCTTTCCTTCTTTTCATCCATTCATCCATCCATCCACTCATCTTTTTTCATCTATCCACCCTTCTTTTATCCATCCATCCATCCATCCATCCTTGTCTTCATTTATCCATTCATCTAACCATCCGTCCATCCACCTACCCACTCACCTATCCCTCCATCCATCCACACGTTCACCTTCCCTTCCTTTTTTCCTTCCTTCCTTTCATCCACCCATCCACCCATCCATCCATCCATCTAGCCACCAATCCACCCATCCTTCTTTTCATCCATCCATCTGCCCATCCATCCATGCATCCATCCACCTACCAACTCACCTGTCCATTCATCCATCCACACATCCACCCTCCTTCCTTTCTTCCTTCCTTCCTTCCATCCATCCATATACCTCATCTGTTTAGGCATTTGTACGTCTTTCCATCAACCTTCCCTTCAAACCACCCTTTCATTCTTCAGTTTGTCAATCCATTCATCTGTCTACTCACTGGACATCCACAAGACATTAATCTGTCCACTTATTCATCTTCTCAACCTTTCATCCCCTACTCATCCTTATACTCATTTTGTTCATCCATCCATGTATCTGCATACATAGTCATCCACCCTTTTATCCATATGCCATCAATTCATTGACTCAATCCACCCACCCACACACCCATCCATCTATCTATCCACTCACCTACCCATTCACTGATTCATCCCTCTATAACCTGTTGACCATGGTAAGAATTTGGCTACTATTCATCCACCCGTATGCCTGCTCATCCATTCATCCATCGCCATCCATCCACCCATTCATTAATCTGTCCATCTACCAGTGTATTCATTGATACACCTATCCACCTACACTATTCACTTATTAATCCACTAACTAATCCAAATACTGTGAGTAAAACCCAACAGAATTACAAAGCACATTTCTCTCACTCAAAGATCTAATGTCTTCTTTTTTGAGGCATATGACATTGATATAGGAAAAAGTAATAGTGCATCCTTTGTTTATACATTCATCTTATGCATGAGAAAAGTCATACAACCACTCTCAGCAGCACACGAGGGTCTCCCCATCTCCCAAACGTAGGTCAGAAATCCAACTCTGAGTGGCTCAAGCCAGAAATTGGATTTATTGACTCACAGTGCAGGGCTGGGGTGGGGGATGAAGGGGGGATACAAGTTGACCAACAAACTATGGTTGTACAGAAATAGTTGTTGACTGCGGTAGGCTGGCTCAAAAGAAGAAGAGATTAACTCAGTGGCCCAGAAGGTTTACTCTTGAAAATCCCAGAGAAGAGGACACTCCAGCCTGGGTTTTGGGGATGAGTAAGAATTCCCCAGGCAGAACAGCAAAGGCAAGGAAACATGATGTAGCAATACACTGAGGTTAAGGGCAGAGCAGTGGTAGGTCTGGGTGGAAATCCACCTGGGATGAGCTCACTTGTTCATTCCACAACTCTTTCTTGAACACTTGCTTTGTGCCAGGCAGTGTTCAATGCCCCGAAGGCACAGCAGTAAATGGGACAGAAAGGATCCCTGCCTTCATGGGGGCTCTGAGGTAGAAAGATGAAAAGAAAAATAAACAGGTAAAATAGTAATCATGCTGGACAGTGATGAGTACTACACAGAAAAAACAAAGCAGGAAAGGCCTTCCAAAGTTTGGAGTTGGGGCTGGGGTTTGCAGTTCTAAGAAGGGCGTCCAGGGAAGTCCCCACTGAGAGGAAGATCATGAGTAAAGACCAGAGCAAGACCAGCTGATGTCTAGGGAAAGGGGCTCTAGAAAGTGGGCACAGCTAGTGCAAGGGCCCTGAGGTAGGAACGTGTCTGGTACATTTGAGGAGTGGCAGGGGGTCTGTGTGACTAGAGAGGAGGGAGGAGCAGGAGATGAAGTCATGGGGGTGACAGGGTAGGTGATGTAGAGTCTAGCGGACCAAGGTAAAAATGACTTTTTCTCTGAGTAGGGTGGGAGCTATAGGTGAGTTCTGTACAGAGGAGGAATGTGTCCTGACCCCTGTTTTGACGGGACCCCTTTCCCCGCCAAATTCCTTGGATGCAATGAGGGCCAAGGCAGGGATTTGAGGATTTGCAGAATCACTCAGGGGTCTGTGTAGAAGAAAAATGGGTTGGATGCCATGGGGTTGGGATCTGGAGTGGGTGGGGGAGGTGCAGGAGTTCACTGGGAAAAAAGAGTGTAAACAATACAGATAAGAGTTGCCACTTGGCCTCATGCATATTATGAGGTTGACACTATTTTTTAATTAAAAAAATTTTTTTTCAAATCAGAGTCTCACTGTCACCCAGGCTGGAGGGCAGTGGCACGCTCATAGCCACTGCAGCCTTGACCTGCTGGACGCAGGCAATTCTCCCACCTCAGCTTTCCAAGTAGCTGGAGCTACAGGCATGCACCATCATGCCCAGTTTAATTTTTCTTGACTTATTGTAGAGACGAGGTCTCTCCAAGTTGCCCAGGCTGGTCTTGAACCCGTGAGCTCAAGCAATCCTCTCACCTCGGCCTCCAAAGTGTTGGGATTATAGGTGTGAGCCACTGTGCCTGGCCTAGCTTGATGCTATTCTAAGCGCATCTCATTATGAACACAACACCCATGAACTGTGATTAACTCATGAGCCTTGTGAGATCTTTAGGATGGCTCCTCCCTTTACAGATGAGGAAACTGAGGCAGAGGGAAATAGATGGCTTGCTCCAGGCCTTACAGCAAGTAGCTTGCAGAGCTAGTGAAGGATCTAGGCCATTTGGAGAGGAGGATACCAGCTAAGGCAGTGGCGGCCATGGGAAGGCGACCCAGGATGTGTGTGGGGCTAGAGAAGGGGTAATGACACTTCCAGACCTGTAGGACATAGAAGGTGAAGGAACCTGGGTGAACCCCAGGCAACACCTGGATTCTGGCATGGGGACAGAGCCGGGGAAGGTGGCAGCATCCAGAATGGAGGAATAAGGAGGATGCGTGGAAGGAACGGTAAGGGCAAGTTTAGACATGCTGTGTGGGAGAGACCTCTGTGACATTCATTCACTCATTCATTCCCCCAGTCATAGCTCACTGAACCAGCATTGATGGAGCACATATTGGAGATGAGGAGGTCTTCTCATGGGCAGGCCCTGCATCAGTTTTCTGCATGCCCCTCTTTCCTGGGGCAGCCTCCTTCTATGAAAGAAAGAGAAGGCTGGATGAGATTAGAGATCTTCGACGATAATCTTCTTCCCATGGGCCAGGAGCTGGACTCCGTGTTCTATCTACCTTAATTTGTCTAGTCCTCTTATCAGTCCTTGAGGTAGGACGTGCTTTTATCCCATTTTATGGATGGGCATGTGAGGCACGGAGAGGTTAAGTGGCTTTCCTGGGTCACTCAGAGTGTAAGTGGCGAGCTGGGACTCAAACCCAGCACGTCCCTTGACCACGAGGAATGCTGCCTGCCTGGGACTTGATCCTCTCCTGACAGAGGACTGAGGACCTGGGTGAAGGCCTCTGGCGGTTTCACTGGTCGTATATGTCACTACACCCCTGGAGGGGAAGAGTGAGTGAAGGAGTGGAAGAAAGAAAAGGAGTCACTTCTGAGAGGGAATAAACTCCCGCTATGTGGGCTCAGGAGAAAGCAGGGAGGAGTAACAGTCTGGCCACTTCCTTCTCATAAAATGCAAGCACATGTAACACAGGCAGGTGTTCTCTAAGTACGTGAGGTTAAAAAAGAAACAACCAGGCCGGGCTCAGTGGCTCAATCTGTCAATCCCAGCACTTTGGGAGGCCGAGGCGAGTGAATGGCCTGAGCCTACGGGTTCGACACCAGCTTGACGAGACCTCGTCTCTACATTAAACCAAAAAATTAGCCAGATATGGTGGTGTGTGCCTGTAGTTCCAGCTACTTGGAAGGCTGAGGCCGAAAGATGGCCTGAGCCGGGGTGGCTGTGAGTGTGCCA